TTCTTCTACTACCCACTCACACCCCCATTCCTTCTCCTTCCTCTTGCAATATAGTTATATCATAATTAGTAGTTAAACAAGTATCCATTATTTACATTTGTATGACCATATTGTTTACAGCTGAGCCACAGACTGTATGGAATTGCAATTCCTTTCTTGAGAAAATTTTGTTTTGTTGTGTAGGTAATAATTGCTTTGCTTTTTCACAATTTTTTTCTGTGACTATCACTAATTCAGTCCCCAACTTTTAGAAAGAATGGTTTAAAATATCTTGCAAAGGCAACTAAGGAAAAAATAAACAAGTGGGACTATATCAAATTAAAGCTTCTACACAGCAAAAGAAACCATTAACAAAATAAAAAGGCAATCTAATGAATGAAAAAAACTATTTGCAAACCATATATCTGATAAGGGGTTAATTTCTAAAATATATTTTAAAAAGTCCTACAACTCAATAGCAAACATAAAAAATCTGGTTTAAAAATGAGCAGAGAATCTGAATTTTTCCAAAGAAGACATACAGATGGGCAACAGGTACATGAAAAGATGCTCAATTGTAAATAATCATCAGGGAAATGCAAATCAAAACCAAAATGAGATATCACTTCACACCTGTTAGAATGGCTATTTTAAAAAAGACAAGAAATAAATAATAAGTGTTGGTAAGGATATGGAGGTAAGGCAACCCTTGGGCACTGTTGGTGGGGATGTAAATTGGTGCAGCCACTATGGAAAACAGTATAAATGTGCTTCAAAAAGCAAAATAGAACTACCATATGACCCAGAAATTCCACTTCTGGGTATTTACTGAAAGAAACCCAAAACACTAATTCAAAAAGATGTATGCACCCTCATGCTCCTTGCAGCATCATTTACAATAGCCAAGATGGAAACCTAAGTGTCCATTGATAAGTGAATAGAAAAATAATATGTGATACACATATACATACACACACACACACACACACACACACACACACACACACGGGAATATTATTCGGCCATTTTACTAGGTGATGTAAGTGAGAAAAAGATAAATACCATATGATCTCACTTACTAGTATATAAGGAATCTAACAACAACAAACAATCTCCTATATACAGAAAAAAAATTGGTGGTTGCCAGAGGCATGGGGTGGAAGGGTGGGAGAAATGGGTCAAGAGAGTTAAAAGATACAAATTTCTAGTTACAAAATAAATACGTCATGGAGTAGTAATGTACACCATGGTGACTACAGTTAATAATACTGTATTGCATATTTGAATGCTGCTAACTAAAAGAGTCGGTCTTAAAGTTCTCATTATAAGAAAAAAATTCTGTAGCTATTATGATGACAGATTTTAACTAGACTTATTGTGGTAATCATTTTTGCAATGTGGACAAATATCAAATCATTATGCCTGAAATAAATAACATGTTGTATGTCAATTATACCTCAATAAAAATAATTTTTTAAAATCTTAATACAGTAAAAAACAAAGTAATTAAACAATTATATCCCCTGCCCCCCGCCCTTGTATACATTCCTCTTATATCCCTTTATCTTCCTGTCCTAATATGAATGGTTACCCTTGAAATGTTACCCTGGACAGCCCTTCATCATCTCTCTGGGATCTGCTTTTAGTATTCTCTTGTTTGAACCCTTTTCCTCATTCCTATTATCATTCTCTTTCTTATTTTACTCCCTTGTTTTACTGGAGCATATATTTGAGTAGCTTCCTGAAAACAGATGCAGAGAAGGTAAACTTGTTGAGACCCTACACAAATGTAATGTATTTACTTTCTGCTTGCTCTTGGCACAAACTATTCTATGGTTAACTCTAGAATTCTAAGTTGAAAATGCTTTTTTAAAACTTGCCTCTTAGTTTTTACTGTTGCTACTGAGAAATCCAACACCAACTGTATTTGAGTCACTTTTCTCTCTGAAAGCGTTTAGGACTTGCTCTTCACCCATGCTGATCTGAAATTTTTAATTTACTTTCTTAATCTGGGCTTAATATTTTCCCTTTCACTCAGCATGTAGATAGTGGGTGAGACTTTCCAATCTGAAAACTCTAGAGTTCTGGGAAATTTTCCTCTATCATTTCTTTGATGATTTTCTTCTCTCTGTTTTCTCTGTTCCCCTCTGACATTCTTATTAGTGGATGTTGAACCTGCTGGACTGATCTAATTCTTTTCAAGTCTTTTCTCTCATATTTTTATTTTTTCTGTCTTCCAGAAGACTTCCTCAATGCTGTCTTTCGACCTTTTATTACATTATTTATTTCTATCTCATTTGTAACTTCCAAGATTTGTTTTTTATTCTCTGATTATTATTTTAACATAGCACTTGACTCTTGTTTTGCAAATAAAACACATTTCTATGTCATGACATGATATCTCTATGTCATGAGTTATAAAGTTTGTAATCTCTGTTTCCTCCAAATGGTTTCTATTTGCTGTTGCTAAGGCCTTTTATAACAGAGTCTCTCCTGAGATGTCTAGGGATCCTCGCTCTCATTTCTTATTTTAGATTAAAACAGTATGAATAGTTGGATGGAGCTTTACAACAGGCATAACTTACTAATAGTTCATGAGCAGAACCCAACCATTTGGGGAGTATACCCCCAACTCTCATATCTATTGGCCTTTTTCTTAGGCTAGATGGTTCCTCAGAGTAGTTTCTTCAAATACTTGACGGAGAAGTTATAAAAGCCTTGAGGGGTAATGAGGTTGAGAGTGTTCCCATTTAGTATGCAGCCTTATCCTCTGACCTAGGTTACACCTTATGAACTAAAGCCCAGAGTTCACCTTCTCCAGAGAGGAATCCTCCCATATTCCACTGGGTAGAAAAGGATAGACTCTGGTTGTGCAGAGTTGGAGAAAGGATCCAAAGATCCAACTGCAATCCTTCTACTCAAATCTACCTCCCAGCCATCAGAAGTACCCAGAACCTCCAATTTCTGGGTCTCTGGCATTCTGAGGTATGATTAGGCTACGATCTTCTGCTCTTACCACCACTCTCCACCATATGCAGGCAGTTGGGTCTCAGCCTCATCCAGTTTGCTGTCGGTTACCTTTCATCCATCCTCTTGCCATCTTCTAAAACTTTGTAGGTGACTATTCCCCGCTGTCACTGTCTGTCTAGTTGTCCCTTAGACTAGGTTGCCATCTTCTCTAGTTCTTTATTATCAGTGAAATTTCAGGAGTGACCAGAAGTAAGTGGCATGCTCAAGCCACCATGCTACGCTACAGAGCACTATGGACCTATACATTCTTCTCTGAGCACACCACTTTTTTATTTGTACCCCTAACTCTGATCTTGCTGTTCCCCTGCCTGGTCTGCCCTTATCCCTTCCCCTTCTTCAATTTTCCAACCTTTATTGGTCCTTCAAAATTAAGCTCAGGCACCATCTTGAGCAGGAATCTTTCCCATATACTCCTTGCATATGCTATGTATATCTCTGGCCTGAAACACACCATACAGACCATATTGTGTTGAATTAATCTGCCCGCACATCTGTCTCCCTCCCTAGACAAACAGTAAGTAGGCAAGAACTGTGTCTTATCCAATGTCCTACCTCTATCTAGTGTGAGGAAAAACATCTGAGACATAATAGGTGCTCACTAATATTTGTTCAACTGACCCATTTCCAGTAGCTTCATGTTGGAAGCATTTTCATTCTCATAAGAGTGAAAAGAATAGGACTCTGTTTATTTGCCAATGTTCAAATAAGGAAGGCTAATCAGAGAGTACCAGAAAATGAAAACAGCCAGATGTTTGTAAGAGCAAAAGTCCAGGAATACAAAACAGTTTCCAACAGGGGTGATGTATATTTTTCCTAGCGATTCAAATGAATATATGCTTATTAGGCAGGGAGAGAGAGTTAACAGGTTCCATGGTGAATCCTGCAATTTTAAATCCATTTAAGATAATTTTCTTTATCTCAAATCTATTTTTCTCAGTAACCAGGATACTTAAATGATTTGTACAAAACTCATTTGAAAAAGAAATAATCTGCTCTAAACAAGGGCACACTCTGAATAGAAAAAGAGACACTACAAACCTAACAGGAAACGAAAAATCTTTTTGAGAGGCCAAGGCGGACTCCTGCTTAGAAAATAGGTTTTCCCTCCAGCATCTTGATTCTATGAGCAATTTCTTTTCTCGATTTCACCAGGAGAAAACAAATAATTCTTAAATCTGAGGGCATAGAAAAAAAGAACTTTCATAAGACAATCAAGATGCCAAACAAACTGTTTAAATGGTAAGAATCTCAGACAAAAGAGTAGAAACAGCCATGGATGTACTTTCTCACCTGTCAGCTTGGCAAAGCATTTTGTAAATGGCAGCACCCAGTTTTGGAATGGTCAATTAAAATTCTAAAAGGAGTAGAGGTTGCTATAAACTTTTGGGAGAGGAATATCACAATATGTGTCTAGAGCCTCCAAAAATATTCCTACAATGTGATCTAAGGATTACACTTTTAGAAATGTGAATTAAGAAAATAAATATCTAATCAATACACATAAAGACTTGAATGGGAAGCTAGTCATCGAAGCGTTATTTATAATAATGAAAAATCAAAGTCCCAAAAAATGGAAATAATTATCATAGCTAATAACATCAGAAAATGCTCATGAAATAACGTTAAATGAAAAAAAAAAAGAGGTAAAACAATATATCATATTCTCATAATCTGCAGAGAAAACAGACTTGAAGACAGATTTTAACAGTTGCTATCTCTAGGTAATGAGATCATGGTGATTTCTGATTTTTATTGAAAACTTTTTATATTGCAGACCTTTCTATATGTTTCTGGGTTGCTTTTATACAAATCAAATGTTTTATTTAGCTAATATTTCAAAATCAACAGTACTCAGTTTATTGGTTGTGGAGGAGACTGAGATAAAAGCTCCCTCACAAGTTACAAATGACATCAGAAAATGTCACAGACTGGGGTCTTCGTCCACCCATAGGATCAAGGGATCTCCTCTGAATGATTGAACCAGAACTTACTTGGTGGGACGATAATCCGGAATGGAACGATCCAGCGAGATTTTTTCACTGAGGTAGGAATTGTAGCCATACTTCTCATGGGGTCCCTTGGCTTTTTCCTCTTCAGCTGGGGAAAGGGTAGCAGGAAGGCCCCCTTTGCCCCGCCCACCATAACCTTCAATGAGCCCAAGGGATTTGGATAAGCCTAGAAAAACGAAGGGAAAAAAGAATTATTTGAAAACCACTATATTGTGATATGTCACTCAAGCTCAGATGCAGCTTCAATGGAAATTTTAACATTACCTGTCATGGAAAGAATTATGTTCTCATTTGATCAGTCTTGGGAATATGCTCTGAGCACATCTATATTGAGAATTGAGAGGAGGGGCAAGGCAAAGGTGAGTTGTGGGTTTAGGTCTTGTTACCTAAACCCTCTCCCTTTTTGAGAACTGGGGTCTATAAAATAGACTGCCCAAAGTCGTACCCGAGGGGGATACAAGAAATGGGACAGAACGGGGGTTACTGTTCATGCCTGTTTTCCTCTCTCCAAGGGGCTATTACAACAAGGCTAGCAAGGCCCAGAGACACCCTATATAACACTAGATAATAGGAGCTGGTAACAGGAAACTGCAAAAATGCAGGTGTTTTTACTTCATTTGAACAAAGAACGATATGCAGATTGCTTTTATCGTGAGTTTAAAGTGTGTAACAGCCTGACATGGTTCTTTACTTAAAGGTTTTATTTAAATTTCATCTAAATGGCAAAGGAAATACAAAATGCTTGAGAATAAATTACAGCAGGAAAAAACCCATAAGGGTGATAACTGTGCCAAGTAGAGTAGGAAGCCCCGGCAACAAGCCTCACTGAGCAACTGCAAGTTCCCGGATGGTGGCAGCTTTACAACTATTGTCCCATTACACGATGAACAGCTTCATGGGCAATTTTTAAATCCTAGAGCTATGGGAGGTTTTACTACTCAGCTACTTGTCCATTTCAAATGCCCAAGCTACTCAGTACACACACATACACACACACACACTACACACGCACACACACACACACACAACACGCACTACACACGCACATACACATGCAGAACTATATCCACAAAAGTCTCACTGCTGCCACTGGTAGGAAAAACATGGACTAGGGTTGTAGATGGTTCCCTCAGCCTTCACAGTGGGCAGCCCACTTAGCCTAGGAGGATGCAACCTTTAAGGAATTCCATGCAAATCATAGACCCACAGGTCTGTTCCAGTCACATGGTCCTCTATCACATAATGGCAAGACTTGTATTCATTCCCTTTTCTGCTTCTCTAAAAACAGGTATTTATTTTCTGTAATACCAAGATTAGAAGGCAAAGGTTGAATGAATATCTCAGAGTTGAACTTAGTTGAAAATCATTTTTCTGCCTGAGAATCATCTCCACTGTTCTTCGGGAACCCTGACATCTTTCCTGCCTGCCACCATCCCAATACAGGCACCAGCAACTGAGAATTTGATTACTGCAGCACCTCCTACCAGCTTCCTGGTCTTTAATCTCTCCTTCCACATTAATGTGCAATTCCAATAACATCGCCTTCACCATGCTCAAAAAATCTACAAGAACTCTATCCATGTCGAGTATAAACACCTGAGTTGGGTTTTAAAGTGACATTATTAGGGGGAGGTAGAATGGTGCAGGTACTTTGGAAAATAGTTTGACAGTTTCTCAAAATGCTAAATATACTTATCATATGATCCAGCAAGTCCATTCCTAGGTATATGTCCCAAAGAAATGAAAATATATGCCTACACAAAAACTCGTACACATATGTTCAAAGCAACAGAATTAATATAACTAAATGTCCATTAGTTGAAGAATGGATCAATAAAATGTGGTATATCCATACTGCGGGAAGCCACCGCTTGCCGATACTGTCATGAGAATGCACCAAGGAACGTGGAAGGACGAAGGACCTTGAGCGTTAGCAGGGCTGAAGCTAAGCACAGATTGTTCGTGTTGAGATAGCGGTGGCTCAAGGCAATTCCCTAACCCCGTGGTCGGCAAACTGCGGCTCGCAAGCCACATGCAGCTCTTTGGCCCCTTGAGTGTGGCTCTTCCTAAGCCTTAGGAGTACCTTAATTAAGTTAATAACAATGTACCTACCTATATAGTTTAAGTTCAAAAAATTTGGCTCTCAAAAGAAATTTCAATCGTTGTACTGTTGATATTTGGCTCTGTTGACTAATGACTTTGCCGACCACTGCCCTAACCTGATAATCCTTTTACTGTTTACCAAACTTTACCTTTGATACGCCTATATGCATTGCTAAAGGGCAAATATGTATTCAAGTAAATAAATAGCAGACCAGGCCAGAAGTCGGTGTGCCTCTTCAAGAAAGAGGCTCCACCTGGCCCCCAATGCCTTCTAAATTCATATTTCTTGTATAGTATTTTCATTTGTGCGTCGGCTCCTCTTTCAGATCCTGAACCCCGCCGTGAAGGTCGCAGCACCATACAATGAGATATTATTGGCAATACGAAAGAATAAGAGTGATATATGCTACAACATGGATGAACCTTAAAAACATTATGCCAAATAAACAAAGCTAGTCAGCAAATGCCACACATTGTATGATCACATTTACATTAAATGTACAGACTATGCAAATCTGTAGAGGCACAACATAGATTAATATATGCTTAGGGCTGAGGAGATTAGGGGAGGAAATGGGGAGTGACTACTAACACATATGGGGTGGCTTTCAGTGATGGAAATGTTCTGAAGTTAGATTGTGGTGATGTTTGGCCAAATTTGTTTGGCCATACTAAAACTCACTACATTGTACACTTTAAGTGGATGGACGAGATGCTATGTGAAAATTTTCAATAAAGCTATAAAAAACTGACTTTGATAGATATTTCTGTTTCCAGCAAGAAGGAAGGCTAAAACAACATAAAAAGTTTCCAGTAAAGCACCTAGAAATGCTGAATAAAAGACTTTTAAGCCCAGCAGGTGTGGCTCAGTGGTTGAGCATCAACCTATGAACCAGGGCACATGTCTGGGTTGTGGGCTTGATCCCCTGAGTGGGGCGTGCAGAAGGCAGGATTCTCTCTCATCACTGATGTTTCTATCTCTTTCTCCCTCTCCCTTCCTCCCCAAAAGCAATAAAAATATATTTTTAGAAACTTTAAAAATATTTTAAATACATAGCAGAGGTTGCAAGAAAGAAAGGGAAGCTCCCAGAGGTAAGTTAAAATCTGAGTTGAGACTGTACCTGCTGGGGTGGGATGAAGGATGGATTTCGCGTTAACAAAAGGTTGGAGTAATAGGGCCTATACGTGCACAAGACATGAGACTTTTTTATACCTTAAATGTTTCATAAGAATTTTTAATTATGAAGGTAAAGGTTCCCATTTACCCAAAACTTGATTTGGGAACCTATCTGGATATATGGTCTTTGTATATGTAATCAAATTAAGATTACTGGTGTCCTTATAAGAAGAGAAAAAGAGACAGAGATAGTCACACAGAAGAAAACCATTTGATGACAGAGGCAGAAATTGGATGATGCAGTTGTAAGCCAAGGAATGCCAAGGTCTTTCAACAACTCCCAGAAGCTAGAAGAGGCTTGGAAGGATTCTTTCCTGGAACCTTCAGAGGGAGCATGGCCTGGCCAACACCTTGATTTTTATTTTCTAGCCTCCAAAACTGCGAGACAATATATTTCTATTATTTTTAGCCACCAAAATCGTGAGGAATTGTTATAGAAACTACATAAAACTAATACAATCTATATATGTATATAAGCCTAAGCGACCATTATGACCAGTTGACCGAATGACTGGTTGACTGGTCGCTATGATGTGCACTGACCACCAGTGGGCAGACACTCAACACAGGAGCAGCCCCCTGGTGGTCACTGCGCTCCCACAGCCAAACTCCCATGGTCAGCCAACCTCCCGCAGTCCCTCCCCCGCCCCCCGCCCCCTACCTGGACTGGGCGAGACAGCCCCAATCAGCCCCAATCGCCAGCCAGGCCAAGGGACCCCTCCCCCCCCCACACACACACACACACACCTGTGCACGAATTTGTGCACCGGGCCTCTAGTGAATATCATAAAAAGGAAAAAAAAGTGCAAATTGATAGAGCAAATATATACCAAGCAAATACTTATCAAAAGGAAGGTTTATCTTAATATCAGATAAAACAGGATTTAGGGCAAACAGCCTTATGGGGATAAATAAAATCATTACATAATGGTAAAGTAACACTCTCCCGAGAAGCTAGAAAGAATTATAAACTATCGTGTGCCTAGCAACATAGCTTCAAGTTACATATGGCAAAAACTGACCACATTACAAGGAAAAGTCAACAAAAGCACAATCATTGTGGGAAATATTAATACAAATCTGAGTATTCAACAGATGAGAAGGACAAAAATTTAGCAAAAATACAGAGGAACTGAACAAAATTGACAAGCTTGATCTAATGGACCCTGCACCTGGCTTCTTAATAAGTACATGTTCCCTACAAGGGCATATGGGAGATTTAAACAACTGACAGGCTACAGAAAAGTCTCACCCTCTCTTACAGATAACCTCTAAACATAAAGCAATTAAAAAAAACAGAAACCAATAATAAAAATGCCACAAAGAACTCACACATTTCAGTAATTTTAAAAAGTCTTCTAAAACATTCATGGGTCAAATAATTAATCATAGTGCCATTAGGGTGAAACTAACAGAACTTTTAGGATAGTGTTAAAATAATACTTGGAAGAAACTCTGTAAATACAAATATTGGTGGAAGGGAGGAAAGATGGATAGATAATGAGGTAAGCATCTAACCCAAGGAGTTATTAAAAGAAGAGAGAAAACCCAAAGAGAGCAATAATAAACAAAAGAACAAAAATGAATGACATACACACAAAAGAAAGACAGCAAGATAGGAAGGAAGGAGTAACACAGAAGGAGGGAGAGAGGGAAGAAAAATAGAGAGACACAGTGACTAGGGCCCCCAACATTTTGGGGGGCCCAGGAACATGTTTAAATTTCTTTTAAAATCATAACATTGCAGTTACATAATATAATTTATAATATTTTTATGGAGGAAGAAGACCATGAAGACCAAAGATCCTAGGGCCCATAAAGTTATTATGCAACTCTAGCTCTCTCGTGTTTAGAATTTTATCCGTATATAACAAGGTGCCTAAAGC